CTTGGTCCACTTCTTTGTTTGCTTGATGGTTTGTTTGTTTTTAAACTAATAAGCCAGGTCAGTGGGAAAAAAATGTTCCTTGATTAAAAAGCATAACAGTGAATTGAAATGCTGATTCTAGTTTGGACAAACCAGCTACAGAATGCATTTTGAAATGTTTGAGGAAATTTAAATGTGGATTGGGTATTAGATAAGATTAAAATGTATTGCTACCAAAAGGCAGAGAGTGTTACCTGGAAAAGATAATTGGGCTACAAGCAATACATACAACATGATCTCTTCAGAAAAGATGCAACTGGACTATTTTAATATTTCAAACTAAAAACATTATTTATTCATACTTTTAGCTTGCATCATCTTTTTTCTTGGCATGTTAAGCCAACACTATGGCAATTATTATTTCTTCACTATTTAATATTTCTTTTGTTGTACACTGGTTGCTATATAAAATTTATTCTTTTTATGCTTAATATTGTGATTCTCCATTAAATTGAATGGATTAAGAATAAATACTTCAAATAACTATAAAAACACATATATTTATTTACTTCCTATGATATACAAAGTGTTTTAATTGAGAAAAATCCAAATTTGTCATAGATGTAAATTTTTCCCCATAATTCTCTGAAGTATTCTTATAGGAATGAAATATTTAAAATGAAAAACTATATCTTTATAATCTAATGACCCAATAATTTTCCTGTCTTCCCACAGGAGAATTGCAAGAGACCTTAAAGAATATATAGACTATTACATGTATCATAAAATTAAAGTTGGAATAAAAATAAAAAACAAGTTGAGAAAAATGTAAAACACACAATACATTTCTAAATGCATAGAATAATACCGATGTTGACTATTGCTCACAGTTTATGGATTTGAATTTTCAACTACCCGGTTGATGCTATCCATGAGACAATAACATTCACTTGCATTAGTCCTGATATTTAGTTGTAATTACTGCTGTGAATACTGTTGAGAAGATTCTCTGTGGAGTGATGAACCGCATTCTCAATGATATTAGTACACATAGTAGGGTTGCATCTTCTCCTTTACACATTTGTTTTGCTTTTTAAATTAAAAGTGCCATTTTAGTGTTCCTCAGAAATTCACACCTTAATTTCCATTTTCCAAAGGACTAATTTCTAGTTCAACTTCATATTCTTTTAAAGTACTGCTGGGGTACTAATGTTATTCATAAAAATTACAAGGAGCCAGAAAAATTGAGATTAAATTTTCTAGCCTTTTAAAGAACTCAATTTAAAAAATTCAAGATGATTGCATTACATGTATGAATGCAGTATCATTAGCAACTATCATGGGCTACTTTATTTATTTATTTTTTGGGGGGGTTAACAATACTGTTCCTGTCACTTATATTTTATTTTTTTTTTATTTTATTATTCATATGTGCATACAAGGCTTGGGTCATTTCTCCTCCCTGCCCCACCCCCTCCCTTACCACCCACTCGACCCCCTCAATACCCAGCAGACACTATTTTGCCCTTATTTCTAATTTTGTTGTAGAGAGAGTATAAGCAATAATAGGAAGGAACAAGGGGTTTTGCTGGTTGAGATAAGGATAGCTATACAGGGCATTGACTCACATTAATTTCCTGTGTGTGTGTTACCTTCTAGGTTAATTCTTTTGATCTAACCTTATCTTCTAGTTCCTGTTCCCTTTTCCTGTTTGCCTCAGTTGCTTTTAAGTATCTGCTTTAGTTTCTCTGCGTTAAGGGCTGCGTTAAGGGCAACAAATGCTAGCTAATTTTTAGGTGTCTTACCTATCCTCACCCCTCCCTTGTTCTTCTAGGTTAATTCTTTTGATTCTAACCTTTCTCTAGTTCCTGGTCCCCTTTCCTATTGGCCTCAGTTGTTTAAGGTATCTGCTTTAGTTTCTCTGCGTTAAGGGCAACAAATGCTAGCTAATTTTTAGGTGTCTTACCTATCCTCACCCCTCCCTTGTGTGCTCTCGCTTTTATCATGTGCTCATAGTCCAATCCCCTTGTTGTGTTTGCCCTTGATCTAATGTCCACATATGAGGGAGAACATACGATTTTTGGCTTTTGGGCCAGGCTAACCTCACTCAGAATGATGTTCTCCAATTCCATCCATTTACCAGCGAATGATAACATTTCGTTCTTCTTCATGGCTGCATAAAATTCCATTGTGTATAGATACCACATTTTCTTAATCCATTCGTCAGTGGTGGGGCATCTTGGCTGTTTCCATAACTTGGCTATTGTGAATAGTGCCGCAATAAACATGGATGTGCAGGTGCCTCTGGAGTAACGTCACTCTTTGGGTATATCCCCAAGAGTGGTATTGCTGGATCAAATGTAGATCGATGTCCAGCTTTTTAAGTAGCCTCCAAATTTTTTTCCAGAGTGGTTGTACTAGTTACATTCCCACCAACAGTGTAAGAGGGTTCCTTTTTCCCCGCATCCTCGCCAACACCTGTTGTTGGTGGTGTTGCTGATGATGGCTATTCTAACAGGGGTGAGGTGGAATCTTAGTGTGGTTTTAATTTGCATTTCCTTTATTGCTAGAGATGGTGAGCATTTTTTCATGTGTTTTCTGGCCATTTGAATTTCTTCTTTTGAGAAAGTTCTGTTTAGTTCACTTGCCCATTTCTTTATTGGTTCATTAGTTTTGGGAGAATTTAGTTTTTTAAGTTCCCTGTATATTCTGGTTATCAGTCCTTTGTCTGATGTATAGTTGGCAAATATTTTCTCCCACTCTGTGGGTGTTCTCTTCAGTTTAGAGACCATTTTTTTGATGAACAGAAGCTTTTTAGTTTTATGAGGTCCCATTTATCTATGCTATCTCTTAGTTGCTGTGCTGCTGGGGTTTCATTGAGAAAGTTCTTACCTATACCTACTAACTCCAGAGTATTTCCTACTCTTTCTGTATCAACTTAAGAGTTTGGGGTCTGATATTAAGATCCTTGATCCATTTTGAGTTAATCTTGGTATAGGGTGATATACATGGATCTAGTTTCAGTTTTTTGCAGACTGCTAACCAGTTTTCCCAGCAGTTTTTGTTGAAGAGGCTGCTATTTCTCCATCGTATATTTTTAGCTCCTTTGTCAAAGATAAGTTGGTTATAGTTGTGTGGCTTCATATCTGGGTCCTCTATTCTGTTCCACTGGTCTTCATGTCTGTTTTTGTGCCAGTACCATGCTGTTTTTATTGTTATTGCTTTGTAATATAGTTTGAAGTCAGGTATTGTGATACCTCCTGCATTGTTCTTTTGACTGAGTATTGCCTTGGCTATTCGTGGCCTCTTGTGTTTCCATATAAATTTAACAGTAGATTTTTCAATCTCTTTAATGAATGTCATTGGAATTTTGATGGGAATTGCATTAAACATGTAGATTACTTTTGGGAGTATCGACATTTTTACTATGTTGATTCTACCAATCCATGAGCATGGGAGATCTCTCCACTTTCTATAGTCTTCCTCAATCTCTTTCTTCAGAAGTGTATAGTTTTCCTTGTAGAGGTCTTTCACATCTTTTGTTAGGTTTACACCTAGGTATTTGATTTTTTTTGAGGCTATTGTAAATGGAATTGTTTTCATACATTCTTTTTCAGTTTGCTCATTGTTAGTGTATAGAAATGCTAATGATTTTTCTATGTTGATTTTATATCCTGCTACCTTGCTATAGCTATTGATGATGTCTAGAAGCTTCTGAGTAGAGTTTTTTGGGTCTTTAAGGTATAGGATCATGTCGTCTGCAAATAGGGATATTTTGACAGTTTCTTTGCCTATTTGTATTCCTTTTATTCCTTCTTCTTGCCTAATTGCTCTGGCTAGGAATTCCAGTACTATGTTGAATAGGAGTGTAGATAGTGGGCATCCTTGTCTGGTTCCTGATTTTAGAGGGAATGGTTTCAGTTTTTCTCTGTTAAGTATAATGCTGGCTGTAGGTTTGTCATATATAGCTTTTATAATGTTGAGGAACTTTCCTTCTATTCCTAGTTTTCTTAGAGCTTTTATCATGAAATGATGTTGGATCTTATCAAAGGCTTTTTCTGCATCTATTGAGATAATCAAGTGGTTTTTGTCTTTGCTTCTGTTAATGTGGTTTATTACGTTTATTGATTTTCTTATGTTGAACCACCCATGGGCTACTTTAAATGTCTATATGGATTCTACTTTTCTCAAAACTTCACACATAATTAATGAGGAAAGTGATTTTTTTCAGTAGAGTCATGAACTTTCATTTCAATCAATATGTATTTTGATAAACTGTCATATGTTGGCTCTTTTGCAGTTGGGTAGTAAAGTTCTGTTGCTGAGTAGCATGGGAATTGGTGAATTCTAAGCAGTGTGTTCGAGAAGCGTGTTTGGATATTCAGGCAATGTGAATGAACCCCGTGGCCGCACCATTACTGCTAATAATTTGGCAATGTACAAGTAAAGCTGGAGCACTGGTGAAATAATACACTCATCAGTTATGTTAATGAGGAAGAAATTTGAAACTGGCTCCAGTATTAATTTACCATTTGCTTTTGATATTTAGAATGTGAAGGAGCTTTTTATTTTTAATTCCACTAATGATTGGTATGTGAGGCCGACACATTTTCTTTTTGCTTTAACAAAAGCAAAGCAATGTTGGACTTTGAGGTAGTTTTTCCTCAAAGTTATCTTAACTCACTAACTCATTAAAAATACAAAAAATAAACTAAAAGGGAGAGATCTGAGAGCTTTTCATTCATTTCAAGGATTAGAGTCTCTTATCTGTTTTAAAAATTGCTTTTACTTTTGAAGTGTTGTTGTATTTTAATATCAGTGTCAAATCACATAGCAATACAGAAATCAGAGAAAAACATTTCTACAGTTTTGCAACTTTGTTGAAATTATAGGGAAAGTGTGTGGGGGAGAGAAGAAAGAGTAATAGAAAGGAGAAGTGATCATAGATCAAACATTTTAACTAAGCTACCAATCAATTTAGTTGAATGTGAAGTGCAAATGACCATCCAAGGATTGAGTCATTATTTTATTAACTTGAACATGTTGGTGACTAATTAAATAACACATAAACACAGATTGATATGTGGCATTTTACACCCTTGTGTCTACAGCATACATTTTGGCAGTCTCTGTCCTAGGGGCCATGTAGGACTTGGCCATGGAAGCAGCTGCAGTTGAATAGGATCTTCTCATGGAATAAGGATAGTTTCTCTCAGGACAAACATCTGTGTGAAAGAAATAAATGCAGAGATATAAAAGTAAGTTTGACTCAGTAGCCTTGGGAAAATGAAAAAATGCTGTCATTTTGTATATTCTCTCCCTACCAAAGGGACAAGGATATTTTTATTCTTAGTTGAAATAATCCAGGAATTCAAAAGAGAATCCTACAAGAAAACAAGAAATTTTCATCCTGAACATTATTTTTAGATTTAAAATTTAGCATTTCCATTTATTTTCTGATGAGGAGAGGAATTTTCTTAGTCTTTTAAGTAAGAAATTTTAGAAACACAACATAGTACATTGAATTATTTAACAGCAGCTATTTAGCTCTTTCTCCACTTCTCTATTTAAATAAGCATGTCTAAATAAATATGTCAATTTAGCTGGTTGGATGAAATTAGATGTATAAGAAAGAATATGATGCATCAAAATGCCATTATATATCACAATATTGGACACAGTTGTAGCCATGTACTTTCTTTTTCAACTCATATATGAGGTAAGAAGCTTTGAGTATTGCAATTGCGTTGTCTTAGAATAGTTTGAATTTTTAATGGTAATAGGTAGAAATATAAATAAGCAATGGTATTTTGTTCTAGTGAAATGTGTTTCCATTGTATTGGGAAGAATGATAGTAGAGGCAGGGAAGTATGTTATTTTATTTTATTCATACCTTTAAAGCGGTAGAAGCAGCAGGTGAGGACAGCTCCAGACAAAAAGCAACCCAGTGACCCAGCCATTCCAAGCCAACAGGACCAACCAAATTTATATTGTATGCCAATAAATATATTGTGAAAAATAAGAGAAGAACGTTCCACATAAACATCAATAGCATACCACATAGAACCAATGATTCCTGGGGCACCTGAAAGAAAGGGAGGATTCTAAGAATAACATGAAGCATTTTCCAAATTTATAACCAATGAGGCATACTTACTATTAATAAAATGTGTGGTGTCATTCAGAGGTAACAACCATACTATGGATCATGAGTATCTCAAAGTTTGGTCAATTCTCTCTTTGCATTTTGCCTTCCATCTTGTATGTCTTCCAATTTTTAATCTCAGTTTATTCATAAAAGGAAATAAAAATGAAGCAACAAAGTGCTCATCTGTTTGTGCAAAATTTAAATAGTTACTATTATTTTATTTAATTTTTCTATCTCTCCAATGCTATTTTAGTATATTCATGCATCCTTTAACAAAGAAGATATGTTAAGAGAAATGTGTCTACAGGCTATTTCATCACTGTGTAAGTATAGACTATTACACACCTCACTTATATGATATATGTGTGTGTGTGTGTGTGTGTGTGTGTGTGTGTGTGTGTGTGTGTGAGTGATAACACATCGCCGCTAAGGCCATCAAGAAGCAGTAACCATGAGTGGTATGAGGCTGCTGCTGGTATAATACAGCATGTTGTTTTATGGTAAAATTTTATTTTTTATAAGTAGAAGGGGTACACACTAAAAAATGATAAAAGTATACTATAGCAAATATATAAGCCAGCAGTATAGTGATTTGCTATCTTTATCAAGTATATGTGCTATATACATCATTGTATGTGCTGTATGTTTATACAACTAGCAGTGCAGCAGGTTTATTTACAGCAATGTCACCACAAATACATGAGTAATGGCTTGCCCTGTGTTGCTATGACAGCTGCAACATCACCAGGTAATAAGAACCTTTCAGCTCCATTAAAAGCTTATGATACCACCATCGTATATGTGGTCTGTACTTGATCAAAATGTTATGTAGCTCATGACTGCAGAGTATAAAGGAAAGTATTAAAAACAAAGAACAAAACCACAAAGAATATGTATTCACACACAAAGAAAATAGAGCATGTGTTCATTACATATTAGTTGTTTTAATTACCAGTTTATGCTGCTGAGTATTCTATTGCTTCCTAGACACATGAGTGAGTGAAGCTTTTCCAGGTCGGTAATTAAGACCCTTTTGGAAACTGCTTTGAGTCTTCCATTTTAGTGTATTGGAGACAGAAATAAATAACTGAAGTAATTTTTTTTCAAATAAATACTTATCTATCATTTCTACAGCATGTAACAATGAACCAAGAGATATCATTCCTTTAAATTTAATCACCATGAGTTAGCTTCTCTGACACTTGACTGGTTTGAAATGGTAGAACTGGGGTTACCTTTATATCAAGGCCCAGATGTAAGAAAGAAAGGGTGATAAGTTGGGAGACAAAAGGCTATGTTAAAAGGGTGTTTCTAAAATTTACAACCTCCAAAAAACCTCACATTCCCCCCCTGTGGGTAATTTACTCATATCATTTTTCTAATTGTTCAGAGCAAGTAGTTTAAGAAGAACCAAATCATGAAATAGAACCTTTAGAAAGCAAGGTACAAATTACCATACATTTTCTATAGTACTGTTACTTATAGGCTAATTTAAGAAAGCTTTCTTCCAAACTGCAAAACAGATGGAAAACTTTAAAAAGTATACATATATAACACATTAGTCTAAATAATGGTTTCAAAGCCATTTAATTTGGTCATTACTTCAGTAACTCCTATGACAATTTTCTCAGTAAATTACATTATTTTTTAAAAGTTTTGTTTTGATATTTTATTCAATGCAGTGTATCTAGTTATGCCTCAGAGAGTATCCTGGAGCAAACTTGCAGAGCCTTAAATAATGCTTATGTTCATTAAATAAAACACATTGCACACAAAAACCTTATCCTTTCTGTAGGCTGGATATAAGATATAATATATTTAAAAGAGGAAATAACTAAATTCCTGTGACTTTTAAACATAGCTTCAGGATTATTAGGTACTTAATTCAGTATTTCTGTATAAAAAAAAGTCAGGGAGGTCCCATTTTGAGTGTGTGAAGGCTAGACCCTCTGCAAAGAACATTCTTCTGCCTACACTGAATTCTCATTGCAGTAATTCACAGTAGATAGTATTGACCTACAACTTCACCACAATTCTCTAATCTATAGGTCCATAAATAAGATGATGGATAAATAAATATATATATATATTTCATATATCATATATATACATATATCTATTTATAACATACTCTATGATTTAAATAATTTACTTAAATATTTATTAAATATTGATTTAAATATATTTATATAAATGTATTTGAATAAATATTGCATTTAAATAAATTATAAAATATATTTAGGTAGATAAACTATCTCCATGTACTTTTACTTCCCAAATTCCTATCAATTCACTACCCCACACTGCCTGGTCAGGTTCTCACTTACATTTGCTTGCTAACTTTTTGCTTATACTGAATAATATGATGATTTTCTCTCTGGAGGTACACGCTTTTGGTTTATAATCTTCCTGCGCTTTGATTTCTTCAGCAGTATACCTCCTCCAAACTTGCATTAAGATCTAAGGAAGGAATTAAGGAAGACTAAGTTTGGAAGTCGAAGGCAGAACTGAGTACAACAATAATCCTGTTTTATTAAGAAACACCATGTAAAGAAGGTACTTCTTGACTTCCTATTTATTAGTTATTCATATCTTTATTTATTTTTTAAATTCAGATAATTATATGACCTGTTTTATTGTTACATTTATGATCAAATGGGTTGGCACATGAGAAAATCTAACATAGGTCCTGGCCAATTTAGTTCATTGCTTAAAAAAGTGGTGTGGGGCACAGGTAAGGAGGTAATAGTTTGAAGCCTACTTTAGGACTTAAAGTTAGGAATAATCACAAAAGAAATTATTTTTAAAATATAAAATATTATATAACTTTTCAAGTGACCAAAAGGTAGTTTAAGAATTTTAGCATGTCTTAATCTGGGATATTACAAAAAAGATTAATTATCTGATTGCAAGGAGAAAGTAGATATGGTAGAATGTGCTCTTTTCCCCTTCAATCTAGAAAAGCAGGCTGCATAGGATATTAAAACGAACTGCTTAGAATACCTTCTCCTTCACCCCAAGTCCTTGGCTGCATATCCTACGCTTGTTTCTAGACCCAACCAGTACCTGCTATTAGTAATGTGGTTCCGGCAACAAAGCAGATGCGAACTTTGATGAACGGCTCATCCGGGAGGAATTTCACACAGTCAAGACCAAGGAGCAGGGTGATAAATCCAAACCCAGCTAGAATATCTGCAGTAATCATCAATGCTCGAGTTGCCACCAGCTTTACTGGATGACCAGGACACAAGGTTACAACAGAGTCAGAGAAGAGAAACATGTTAACTCATAAAGATACTCAAAGATAAACCGATAGATTTCAGATTTTACATTTGAATAAACTTGAATATGAATACCTTTAATTTTTTCATAAAATTAAAAAATTTTATGAAGTTATTGATGTTGTTTAAGCACTGATCATTACTTATTTTTGTCAACATTTTAGGAGGTAGTATCTTAGTAGATAGTTGGGACTAAATAAATGTTTTTCTTTTTTGCCTCCTGCTCTGGAGTATCATAGTGAATGCTGAGTTGAACATAGAATATCTGCTCTGGGAACGTTACCGAATAAATATCAAATGAATAAATGAATTGTCATTATAATTGTTAGAAATCATATTGAAAAGTTAATAATAATAATAAGTTTGAACTTTGTACATGAAAGCAGGAAAAATATTTTAAGGTTTCTCTTTGTCAATTGAGGCTGATAAAGGCATGACATTAGAAGGAGGAGAATTCCTTTATTTCTATTACTCAGAAGGCTGTCTCTGGAAGTCAGATCATGTTCTTTAAACTCTAAATACAGTGACCCTTCTTTGCCAACCTCCATATTAACCCTTTCACCCTGCATTGGTAGATGAACATACTTAATTGCTGCAGCCAATAAGAATGCATGGCAGGAGGCCCAAGCAAAGATTAGGTAAGCAGACATGGGAAAAACAGCAGTCTTCTGAAGTAGAGGTATCTTCACATGTAAGTGCCTCCTAAGCACAGAGCGATGGCTATGCTAAATTGAAAATAGGGAAGGCTGGGATGTAACTTAGTGGTAGAGAACCACTAGCCTGTGAAAGGCCATGAATTTGATCCCCAGAACTACAAGAAGAAAAATAAAAAGCAAATTGTAACACAAATGGATGATTAATTACATGAAATTAACACTATAGGAATTAGCTGGCTGATGGATAAAAGTAATAAAATTTATTTCTTTTATGCCACAGTAGTTATTTTATGTATAGTGATTTGGAGTCTCCTTGCCTTAAAAATAATTTTTCCTCAGTAAAATTCGGACTTATCTAGTAATACGTTGCTTACAGAAATGCAGCTAATTTTTCTTATTTAAGCTAAAAATATCTTTATGATGTATCCAAGAGAAGAAATCAATATGTAAAATTCCTTCCTACTAATTAGTATGCACATATGCTATATACATTATTAATATATATGAACTCATTTTTAATTAGAATTGAATGTGTAATACTCAAAAGTTGGTATTTAAAATTTTTAGATATTCTAAATCTAAGCTTATTTACTTGAAATTGAGGAGAAAAATATAAAACTTATTAAGTAATGTCAGTTTTTCTGATTTCACCATATCCTCTTGATTGCCAAATGTCATCTACAAGTGGACCTTCTGCTCAGTGCTCCAGGCTAGTGAGTACTTTGGAGTGACTCCTTTGAAAGTTTCTAATTCTTTTATGGAACCCAGGACAACTCAGGACCAGCATTACCATCAATATAATGGTGCTGTGAACTCACCTAGACCCTCATGGGTCATGGTTTCCCCTTCACACCAAGACTCCCACACAGGGTCTCTGTAGAGCTTTTAGTCCTACCTGTGGGATGGCCCAGGGACTCCATGATCAGCCTGGTTCCTGGAGGGCAGCCCCACAAGCAGATTGCTCATGCTAGCTGCTGAGGGATTCTTTCCTTGATATCATGTGAGATTAAGCCTCCAGATGGAGTTAATGTGCTGATTTGGGGGGACTCAAATGATCTTAATCAACAGGAGCCTCACAAAACAAATACTCCTTAAGGGCCACACACTATAGGTGTTAATTAAATATAGTTGCATGAAAATAGCAAAAAGTACAATATAGTTGCACTTCCTATAGGTAACACCCTAATCTAGAGGGTTTAGATGTTATTTTCCTAGGATGTGGAAGAATTTTTATGTAGCAGATTTTTAAAAACATGGATCTTTAGCTATTTGAATTTCTTCTTTTGAGAAACTTCTGTTTAGTTCACTTGCCCATTTCTTAACTGATTCATTAATTTTAAGAGAGTTTAGTTTCTTAAGTTCTCTGTATCTTCTGGTTATCAGTCCCTTGTCCGATGTATAGCTGGCAAATATTTTCTCCCACTCTGTGGGTGGTCTCTTTAGTTTAGAGACCATTTCTTTCATTGTGCAGAAGCTTTTTAATTTTATAAAGTCCCATTTGTCCATCCTTTCTCTTAGTTGCTGGGCTGCTGGGGTTCTATTGAGGAAGTCTTTGCCTATACCTATTAGTTCCAGAGTGTTTCCTGCTCCTTCCTGTAGTAACTTCAGAGTTTCAGGTCTAATATTTAGGTCCTTGATCCATTTTGAGTTGATACTAGTACAAGGTGATAGACATGGATCTAGTTTCAGTTTCTTGCAGATGGGTAAGCACTTTTCCCAGCAACATTTTTTGAAGAGGCTGTCTTTTCTCCATCATATATTCTCAGTACCTTTGTCAAAAATGAGGTGAGTATAGTTGTGTGGATTCATATCTGGGTCCTCTATTCTGTTCCACTGGTCTTCATGTTTTTGTGCCAGTACCATGCTGTTTTTATTGCTATTGCTTTGTAATATAATTTGAAGCCAGGTATTGTGATACCTCCAGCATTGCTCTTTTTACTGAGTATTGCCTTGGTTATTCGTGGTCTCTTGTGTTTCCAAATGAACTTTAGGGTAGATTTTTCAATCTCTGTGATGAAAGTCATTGGGATTTTGATGGGAATTTCATTAAACATGTAGATTGCTTTTGGTAGTATAGCCATTTTTACTATGTTGATTCTACCAATCCATGAGCATGGGAGATCTTTCCATCTTCTGTAGTCTTCCTCGATCTCTTTCTTCAGGGGTTTGTAATTCTCCTTGTAGAGGTCATTCACATCCTTTATTAAATTTACTCCTAGGTATTTGATTTTTTTTGAGGCTATTGTGAATGGAATTGTTTCCATATATTCCTTCTCAGTTTGTTCGTTGTTGGTGTATAGAAAAGCTAATGATTTTTGTAAGTTGATTTTGTATCCTGCCACCTTGCTGTGGCTATTTATGGTGTCTAAGAGTTTTTGAGTAGAGTTTTTTGGGTCTTTAAGGTATAGGATTATATCGTCTACAAATAAGGATATTTTGACAGGTTTTTTTTTACCTATTTGTATTCTTTTTATTTCTTCTTCTTGCCTAATTGCTCTGGCTAGAAATTCAAATGGCCAAAAAACACATGAAAAAAATGCTTACCATCTCTAGCCATAAAGGAAATGCAAATCAAAACCACACTAAGATTCCATCTCACCCCTGCTAGAATAGCCGTCATCAAAAACACCAACAACAACATGTGCTAGCAAGAACGTGGGGAAAAAGGTACCCTCATACTTTGCTGGTGGGAATGCAAGCTGGTGCAACCACTCTGGAAAAAAATTTGGAGACTTCTTAAAAATCTAAGCATAGACCCGCCATATGATCCAGCAATCCCACTCCTGGGGATATATCTAAAGGAATGCAACACAGGTTACTCTAGAGGCACCTGCACACTCATGTTTACTGCACCACTATTTACAATAGCCAAGTTACGGAAACAGCCAAGATGCCCCACTACTGATGAATGAATCAAGAAACTGTGGTACTTGTACACAATGGAATTTTACTCAGCCATGAAGAAGAATGAAATGTTATCATTTGCAGGTAAATGGATGGAACTGGAGAACATCATTCTGAGTGAGGTCATCCAGGTTCAGAAGACCAAAAATCATATGCTTTCCCTCATATGCGGAATTTAGATCTATGGCAAATGCAGCAATGTGGTTTGACTTGGATCACATGACAAGGGGAGAGCACATACAGGAGATACAGGAATAGGTAGAAAACCCAAAACATGAAAGTGTTTGAGGCCCCCACTCAAGAGGAACTAATACAGAAACCTTAAAGCGACAGAGGTTAACATGAGAAAAGGATCAGTAACCAGTGTAAAGATCAGTCAGAGATGAATCAAATTGAATTGTAACACATGTGTACACAAAAGCAATGCTAGGAATCTTTCTGTATAGCTATCCTTAACTCAACTAGCAAAAACGCTTTGTCTTCCTTATTATGCTTATGTCTTCTCTTCAACAAAATTAGAGATAAGGGCAGAACAGGTTCTGCCTGGAAGTGAATTGGGGAGGGGGGAGAGATTGAGGGAGGGTGGCAGGAAGGAGATATGACTCAAACAATGTATGCACATATGAATAAATGAATAATTACAAAAATGGAACTTTAGTATACAATTTGAAAATAATAGGGAAGAACAAAAGAAAAATGTCAGGTAATATAGGCAACATATTAAAAGGAAACATTAAAATATGAATAGTGTTTTTCTATGTATAGTAAGCTTATGATTGATTTCCTTTTCTTCTTGCATAAGTGTACAAAATAATATTTTAAAGGTTAAATCTTTTTCTTCTCACCTCTGGCCATGCACTGAATTTTTGGAATAAGCTGAGTGCCCAACATGAATTTTCATTCCTACTTATCAAATCATGCTTCTTTGTAGATAGAACTGAGTATAGACTCAGGAAAGAATTAAGAGGACTTCTTAAAAACAAAGATATAATAAAAGGTCTAATGAATTATGGTTAAAAATTTTCAGGCACCTAACTCCTAAATAGCAGGTGAAGATATTTAGAGGTATGCTTAAGTGCTTTCCCCTGGACTGAAACAGCTGTCAGGGGAAAAGTCACATTCCAAGGGTTTACTTTTCACTTATCTTCAGAAAAGAAGTTGCCATGTGGTGCCATCACCTATACTCTGCTTTGAAATGGACTAATACCACTTTGCTTTAATAATAGGACTGGTATTTCTTGGCATGGTTCAATGTTCTCAGTAAATAAGTAAATGCTACAGAGAAGGACAAAGAGAATTAATGATGATTAATTTAAGAGATCACTTTATTCATAGAAACCCAGACCTTGCTAAAGTCCAAATAGGATTTAAAGTTAAAAGTATGGAAGATGAAAGAGCCAGTTTTAATAAACACTACTAACAATATGTCATGTGTTGAGTTTTTCATCCACTGACCCACATATTGTGTGTGTCTCTTTTCTTTATGTCTCTGCTCCTCTATCTCCACCTCTCCCTTTTAGCAAATCTTCAATTGAAAAAAGCTAAACTTTCTATTTGAGCTAAAATATAGCTAAATGATATCTCTGGAATACTATTTATCTAACTTATCAATTCTTTTTGTTTGTTTTTTTGACAGTAGTGGAGTTTGAATTCAGAGCCTTGTGTTTTCCAGGCATGTGCTGTACCACTTGAGCCATACCACCAGCTCTTTTTGCTTCATGTAGCTTATACACAGGTTCTCACATTTATGCCCAGATCCATCTGGACAGGGGTCCTCCTATTTACCCTTCCTGCAGAGCTCGGATGACAGGGCTATTCCAACATGTCCAGCATTTTTGAGTTGAGATTTGGTCTCACAAACTGTTTGCCTTGGCTTGCCTCAAACTGTGATCCTCCTGATCTCTGCCTTTCAGGTATCTGGGATTATAGGTAAGAACCACCACACCTGGCTCTAACTTGTTAATTCTAATCACAGCATCAAAGAATGTGTTTCTATCAAAAACCCATTTCCTATATGTCTATCATGTATAAAGCACGGTGTGAGGTTCCTTACAAACAGCAGATACACAACAACATTTTTACTTTCAAGGAATATACAAATTTATGGGAAAAGCTAAAATATATTTCAATTCACATTTCAGAAATGAGCCCAGTTTCTAATTGAAACATCTCAAATTGAACAGAATCTTAATACAGTACTATGGAAATAAAAACACACAAATATCTGAGCCCAGTTTCCTTTGGCAGTCCCTTCCTGGCAAGCAGGATGGTTTAAGATATACGTACAAGGATGCTCTGCGTATATAGAATCATACTCTTCACAGGTGCGAATCCCATCAAAAGCATTTGTGACACACTCCCACCAGAGGCCTCGGCATTTTGTGCTCACCTGGATGTTAAAGAAGACACGATATGAAACAACTCAAGCAGATACACTTCAATTCCCTTGATCAAAGGGAGACTTGGCTGTCATTTTTGATAGCAAAGTGCAGTGTGTACAAGTGTGATTGGAATTTCATTAGCAGCAAACAATGCATTTTCCCTTAAGCACTGACAATTAAAGGCTTCATGGATTAGGAAATAAATCCACTTCCTGATGAAGGAGGCATATAAAGAAGTAAGTCATGGTTAAGAGGGATAAAATCAGAACTAAATATACTAAATGTCTATGGCTTCCTCCACCACTGAGTCATGGCTTAACATGGACACCATCCATTCCACTTTCCTGGGCTGACATTTACTCATAAGTAAATCTATACAACAATAACTGTTAATGACTTGAATCTATTAGGAATGTACATTAATTTTTCTTCATTATGAACACTGAATTTCATGGAGAAATGTATTATTTTATATGAGGTTCATAAATATAAAAATTGCAAAGAAAGCCAATAAATGAAGACACCAATAAATGACTGATAGCCCCTCGTCTTCTTCCTCCCTGCTGAACTGACATATTATAAATGCTGAAGCCATGATGTTATGTAAACAAACTGAGCATTAATTTCATATAATTTGACATTGTAAACCACTTTTACTTGGAAATGATTTGCAGATGACATTGTCCACTTAGAGCTAAAAAGTGTCAGAGCCTGTTTTTCACATCCTTTGTCTATAAACTGTTGTCACAGTAGATTTTTTACAATTGTAAACATGCCAACAGAAAACAGTTTTAAATATTCTTAACAGAGCTCATGCATATGGGACAGAGCTAACATAATTGTCTTTTCAAACTCAATTACAAATTCACATTACCTTGGAAATCTGAAAATAGTTAAGTAAGAATTATATTGGAAAATTAAAACTCAAATTTTTTCTAAGAAAAAATAAATAACAGTGCAAGGTGGAAGGAGGAATGTCAAAGAAGGGCTGTTGAACTGACGCCAATAATAAAGGAAGGGGCAGAAAAACACTGTAAAAGAAAATCATTCAAGGAATTCATGCACTGTGAAACTCTCAGCACCATGCTGGCCTTCTGCTCTTTTGTGGCCAAATGAAACTCTACTGCTGCAACTTTATCACAGTTTTGAATATAATATCTTTATTATTGCTTTATATGTAAAATTCTTATAATTAGTAGTAATTAATGATTATGTATGAACCTATACTTTGAAACATTACAATTTAGAGATTTTTTTTTTTTCATTTATTCCTTAAATAACCTTATGATATATTATTATCTATTTTATAAACAAGGAATTGAAGACAAAGGAAAGAGATAATCCTAAGAAAACCATAGTCAATAAATGAAGGATTCAGGACTCACTACAATAAAGCAGTCTGTGTGTGTGTTTATTAAAAAATGTAAATACACAATATAAATGATCTGTTCAATAAATAAATGTAGTAGTAAGTGCTCAAACATCATACTAACTTTAGTGGCTGTGTTCAGCGTTTTTAAAAAATAATGAAAGTGGAAAAAATTCAATGGAATGAGATAAATGGTGGGCCTCAAAATGTCTGTGTCTTTATCTGCAGTACCTGCACCTATTACCCTACTTGGAAACGAAAGGGTCCTTGCAGATGTAAAGCAGTTAAGCATCCTGAGGTGAGGAGATCACCTTGGATTACCCTGGTGGGCTCTGAACTAATGACATGTATCCTTAAAAGGTGCCCACAAAGAGGAGACACAGAGAGAATAGAAGGACAGAGATCAGAGTCACCAGCCGCAAGACAATGAAGGAAGAGAAACTAGAAGAAACCAGGAGCAAATTCTCCCCAGGTGCCTTGCAAAGACCTCAGTTTCAAACTGTGGTCTCCACAATTGTGAGAGAACAATCTTCGTTTTAGTCCACCTGGTTTAAGGTCATTTTTTACAATAACCCCCCCAAGATGAATATGACAATTATGGTGTGTACTGAACTCCTATACCAAAAAAGAAAGCAGGCCTTCTCAGAGCCTATTGTCCTTAAGCCTCTCAGCTAACAATTACAGTGGATCCAGTTTGTCCTAATTTGAGACACACAATCTGAATATGAAGTTATCACTTTATAATCACACAATGACTGTCTGCAATTTCCTACTGTCTAAATCAGCTAGTAAAATACACCTGAAATATATGACTATTCCTATTATATAGGCTGTCTGAAAGTGGTCCAAGATTTGTGTGAGAAACATTTTATTTCAAACTAGTAAGAGTATTACTGCCCTGCCAAAATAATCCAGTAGTGGTGTCAATTTCAAGGCTATTGATCATTTACTTGCAATGACCATATTTAGAAAAGCAATGAGCTCATTAGAGGAAACAAGGAATCTAATTTCATTAGGTATTAGCGCTCAGGGGCACACTATTAAGTTGCTTGGTATTCACACTCAGTTAAGGTACGTGAGAATGGAGACTGTAATTAACTAAACTTCTGTGTTAATACAACACTTACTGGAAACACTTAAAGGTGCCTTTGTGCACAAAACACAAGGTTAAAAAATTTTATGCTATTAATCATATTTAGGAAAGCCCTCCTTGCTGTAATGTATAGTCTTTGGTTAACCTAACCTTCTTTTATAAAATGGCTTATTAGCAACTCTCTAAAAGGCAAGCAAATGTAAGTTATTGAAAGTTTTAAAACATGGTTCTTAAAAAGCATATTACTGCTTAAAATATTATGGCTAAGGTAACCTTTCAGAAAGGGCAAAAAATGCAAAATGTCAACTGATAATTTTTATCTCACAGATTCATCTGAAATGGAAGGTTCCAATTTTAAGCTTTCTCTTTTTAAAATTCAATTGATACATTTACATATAACATAGAAAGAAAAGTCAAAACAATTTGTATATTATTCAAATGAATGTCTGTCACTTGAGAGTGGAAGTGGATTATTCCTTAAATGAGAGTCTATTTATCCACAGTATGACACTAAAGAAAAAGCACAAACATGAGCCCAACCAAAGTCTCTTCATTGCTTGCCAATACTTAAAATGGAGAGATGTTATAGGACCAACCAGATTCCTGACTTCTTTGAAAATTTGGTCAGCCTGGTCTCCCAGACTCCCCACTTTCAGGTTTAACTGCTCCCGTTTAGGTGACACTTATGCCACTGGGTCCCCACTGTTCCTATGCTGTCTTGATCATGTACATTGGCTCGAAGATGCCTCCCCCAACCTCTCCAGTTGGAGTGAGTCTCCTTTTACCCTGAGATTCCACAGTAATGTGTCCATGTTTTATAGTACTTACAATGTTGCATTGCTTTTCGTTTTTTTGTATGTGTGTTTAGTGGAGCAGTCTGTCAATTTTCCAAACTGCATTTGTCATTTCCAAACTGAATGTCTGTTACATGCTTAATATACAACTAAATGCTGGAGATATTGCAACAACTGACAACAACATGGCACCTTGTTTCAAGAAGCCTATTGTCTCTCCTTCTTGGTATATAGTAAGTGCTCAGTAGATATGTATTCAAGAAAATGTCAGTTTTCCAAATCCACATGCATACATATTAACTCTCATTTGAGCTTTGAAGTAGAAAATGATTATTAGTAACACTATATGCACAATTGTTGCTTCAAATGTCATTTTCACTTGTCTAAATAAACTGGAACAGCTAAATCCAGGAGCCAGACAAACTATGGCATTGATATTGATTTGATGCCATTCTGAATATTGTCTAATCAGCTCTCTCTGCAAAGTGTTTACTAGGTACTAAGAAGGAACAGGTTTAGCACTTAGAAGGTTTTAAGAAATCATGTTGATGATGACTCTTCCTAGTTGAGTTATAGTGTTATAAATCCATTCCTTAATCCCAGGATTTCCTATTTTGAACTCCATTAAGGCTTCTCTGTCAGTGGAACTGGAGGTCATTATGTTAAGTAAAATAGGCCAGCACAGAAAGATAAGTACTGCACGATTTCAAGAAACAAGTACTTTTTTTTTTCTTCAATACTATGTAGAATCTAAACAGTTGATCTCATAGATGTTGAGAGAGGCCAGGGAGAAGTAGATGGGAGGGAGGGATGGGCGGAGGTTGATTAATGAGAACTAAGTTACAGTTAGATAGGAGCAAGAAGTTCTTGTGCACTGTTGCACAGGAGAGTGACCATAGGTAATGATAATGGACTATACATCTCAAAATGCTAGAAGAACAGATTTTGAATATCTCACTTTAAAGAATTAATAAATCTTTGAGGAGACAGATATGTTTAACATGGTTTAAACCTTATACAGTGTACACATTTACTTAAAAATCACATAATCCTTGCTTAGTATGTATAGTTTTAATGTTTTGTGCATTATTTAAATACTAATTTAATTTAGAGATTTCTCTATTATATTTTTTGTTAACCTCTCTTTTCTTTATCCCTCCTGAAAGACAAGCAACAACACATATTTTTTTTCCTGCCTTGTCTTTTTATGTCTCTTTTGAGAATTAGAAACATTCAAAAGATACTTGGTATTTATCTCTTCTTCAATTATGTGGAAAATATATAAATATATATTATATATAATATACAACAGGCTTAGTAAATATTTATTGTTGACTGACCACTATCAAACAAGATTTTATTTGTTACTACACATTAGGTTATAAATATATATGGATGGGGGTTGGGGATTTAGCTCAGTGGAAGAGCGCTTGCCTGGCAAGTGTAAGGCCCTGAGTTCGGTCCCCAGCACCGAAAAAAAAAAAAAAAAATATATATATATGGATGAACAATTAGTAAACCAAAACCAAATGTAATGAACCATTAGGATACATTATTTTTAAAGATACCTTGTTTATAATTAATTGTTATAATTTTCACACTACTTTGTCATCCTTGTAATAACATGTTTCAACATTGAGGGAAAAACTAACCCATTTACTTAGATACATTTATTAAGACCCAAAAATTTTAATAATATTTTTGTAAGTAATTCAAATGTATTTTAGTATTTTTTGAACTAGGATTCTGAAATTTTTAGTTTTGTATTTTATTTTACATTTTTTATTACCTCACATTTAAAAGTAACTCAAGACAGGAGTTAATAATATCTGGGGATAAAGACTAAAATAATTGTGATAGATATTGCCATTCATTTATAAGATATAAAAGAAAGTCATGATTTTATTTACCAAAATACATTGTGCATTTGTAAAGTACTGGCTAAAGGTAGCAGAGTAGCTCAAACTTAGTGAGTAAATACAATTTTTGTAGTCTTTGTAGTTATGTGAACCAATTTACATGTCTGAACTATCTAAATATTTCAATTTGAATACTTCTTGTTTAATTTATTTAAGCTATATACGTTAGAATCCTTTCCTGTAGACGTATGGTGTCACAACTGGCTCAGTGACAGAGATCCAGCTTATGTTTTCTGAATGCTTATAAAATATTAATACTTTTCCTTTCATTTAAAATTTTTCTTTCTCTTTAAAGCACCAAATAGGAAAACCTTCTTATATAGACAGAATACACTTTTCACCAACCTTAATGGACATGTCAGCAGATTATATCTTTATTCCTATCTTATGAAAAAGTTGAGCCAAATACACATATTAAAAAACATAAATTACAGCAAGATATAAGATCTTGCTTTAAAAAATATGTTGTTTCTCTGTAGAGATACTTCTTATTTTAGGTTTAATAGATCCTATCCAAGATTACCACACATTTTATTTCGTTCATTTACTCATTATTTCAGCAGTATGCCAAGAATCCTAGTCCATCTGCACAAATGTATTGTGAGCTCCTATAATGTAGACATCAATGCTAGGCACTGTAGAAAATCACTCTAGGAAATAAGAGACCATTATCACATACCTGCTGCAAGAGTTTGGAGTCAACCGAAAGTAAAACTAGTATATAAATAATCAGAGCACATACTAGATATAATAATTTTAGTAGGTACTTTATGTCTGAAAGAATTATGTCATCATTAATGCAAATAGAAATCCTAAGGAAGAGCCTGATTATGAGGATAAAATAAATTCCAGTGTGAGCAACCTTCTTTTGAAGTAATAAAATTTTAATCATAACATTGCTTGCTGTATAGCAGTTTTTCAGGAAATAATTAACAAAAAATTAACTGAAAATTGAATCATCTTGTGGAAACACTTTTTTCCTTCTGATAATGGAGAAAGCAGTAACTTTGTAAAGAAATTATTTTTATAACCCAGTGTGATAATTAATAATTGCACATCTTACAGTCAACATGTTAATAATATTATTAATTCTTTATTACCTTGTTAAATGTGAGCATTTGATAGATAACCTGTGCTTTGGCATTCCTTTAGCTGCCTTATTCCCCTACTCAAGCAATAAAATAACAGCCATGAGTGCAAAGATGAGCAAACTACAGCCCAGAGAAGTAAACAAAATTTTTCCAAGAGAATCAATAGCAAAAACAAGAATTGAACTTAAATCTCTGCTCTCTGTGTTCAGAGAATATTACACAAAATGTCATCTCCTCCTCCAGAACAAAAACAGAACAATGAATTGCAAATCAATCATAATATAGATAACATTTATTGGCTGCTTTGTATTTGCCTATGCTGTGGTAATTTCTATGGATACACAGCTCATTTAATCCTCATGAGAAATTTATGGCGTGTGTATTATCATTCTCCCTTTACAGAGAAGGAAATGTGGTTTGTAGTAATTTAAAAGCCTACCTAAGTCATACAGCCACTATACGACAAGGTGGGATTTAACCTATTGTCCCTCTGATATCAGTTCTAAACTATATATTTCCCCACTAAAGAATTGTGTCCCTGCTTCCAGATATGATATACCAAACTAAGACAGAAAAGAAAAGCAGGTGATTTGGGGATATTTCTCTACTATGACTTCAATATAGACACTAATATTCCCCCATTTAAGCTTTAGATGAGTGATTCCACAATCCCACCAATTGCCCTGAAATGGTAAGTGGATTTCAATCTTGACTTCTCTCTTCATCACCTCTTTCCCACATGAAATCAATTACCAATCCCATCAATCCAGTTCTTTAGTTTCTCCCATCTTTACATCTTTTCATGCTCAATGTCACTCTTGTGCTCTCTCTCTATCTCTCTCTCTCAACAAACTACATTCATCATTGAACTCTACTTCTTAACAAGTAAGGATGACAGAGTCCAATTATCTTAAGTAAAAAGACTTTCAAATTTTCAGAAAATATTTTAGCAATGAGTTTGGATGAGATTCTGCACATTAAAAATACTCTTAAAAGATCAATTTTAAGTTCACTCAAGTCCAGCCTATTTCTGTACTGATAGCTATGACTGGCATTCTGGATAATGGAAAACTAATGACAGCACAAGGCTTTTTCTACTCTTTTCCCTGAGCACTGTGCAAAATGTTCTTCACTCATTTGCGCATATGCGTGGCCAGATAAAATATATCACCAGACTCACTTTAAGGGAGACATTCTAGAGTAGTTCAATTTTATCACAGTTTTTAGAAACATAATTTTCTAGCACTAAGGAGGCATTTATAACTCCACTGACTTTGAAATGTCCTGTATAAATAAGAAGAAAATTAAAATCAAGAAAAAAAAGTAGGAAAAAGAATGCACAGCAAAATAGGAAGATAATTACTTTCCATTTCTAACTCCAACTTGAGAGTTTAATAAATAAAATTAGAAAAAAACTATAGACTTGCTCTCCAGCATCTTTCCTAAACTCCTAAGGGTGACATTGTAGCATTTGTCAGAATAACTTGTTTCCTTCAGGATATACATAAAAGAGCAAATGGTGTTGCTATATACTCGTTGTTTGAGCTCCTGATATATTATTCCCTTTCCTTACCTACATTTTCCTAAACTTTACTAATGAAAACAGCTGATCCTGAAGATTTGATTTTGCTCAGTTTCACCTCCCTGTGATTCCTGTGACCATAAGAAATGTCTTTGAGCTTTAAATTTATCTTGTGAGAACAGGAAAATTCTTAAACGTGAATGCACTCACTCACTTTTGCCTAACAGTCAGTTCCCAAGTGTCACTCATTTTTTAAAGAGGCTGTCTTAAATCCATGCCCTGTACATTGGGACGCAATGGAAAAGCTATTTCTCCTTAGAAGGTTTTCTGCTTGGAAAATCATTAAAACAATCTTTTTCCATTGCATATGAATTGGGTAGGTTTATATGCCTTGAGTTTGCTTACTCCATGCCTTAGATTATTAGCCTCTTTTAGAAAGTCTATTACAGAACTCTGAGTGCTGTCATTAACAAATTTACCTTGGATAAAAAGAAAGGCTGTTAATGGAACATTTTTCAGTTTGGTATATGTAGCAATGAGAGAGATAGATTTTTAGAACTCAGTGGCAGGAATTATGTAATTACTTTTATGTGAATTTAGTTTTACATAAAAGAGGGATTATTCATTACTCATCTGTAAAATGGGATGCAACAATATCTACCTCATAGGTTAGGGTGAGGATTAATCAAGCTAATAACATAAAGACTCAGTAAGTAGTAAGTCAGTCCATGTTGGCTATCTCCATTATTAAAACTGTAGGAAATGTGCTGAGATTTGTATATGGCAGCAAGACTGGGAGAAAATTTAGACTGGGTCAAAAAAAAGAAGTTGCTGACTTCTTACCTCCAGAGAGTCATCAGCATTCACCATCCAACAGTCTGTCCAGGTAGCCACAATCAAAAATCCAGTAGAAAAACAGGCAAAGAAGCAGGCGACATACTGAAGAAGATCCCTCATTATGGTGAGCAGCCTGTCGAGAAAGGACACATGGGCAGATGCCAATCTTGGGCCTTCTCAATAGCTGGAATACTATTGGCCTTCCACTTCATGCACCTGGGGATGAGAAAATACAGGGCTTTACTTTTCCTCACACCCCACTGCAGGCACCTTACACTGAGGAAAGCATAATACAAATAAGCTGTAATCAACGATGAGGGTCCTGGAGGTCATTATCTGAAGCCACCGGCCTCCAATCAGAATCCAGGTGAGGGAGAAGACTGAGTGCGTTCTGGGTGGGGGAAAGAAGGAGACTGGTAACATTTTCTGCCCAGACTGTAGCTACTGTGAAATGATGATCACCACAGGCCATGCTGGTGCCACGATGGAGGAAAGGATGAAGGGTGGCACGAAGGCTGAGGCTGTAAACTGATCTTTCTCAGGCCCTCCAGGGAAAGTGGGCTTTTCTCCTCCCCCTCACAAGAAGGCTACACAGTTGACTGAGTGCTATTTTATTGTCAGGAATATTTTAATATTCTCTAACTTTCTTAGACAGGCCACTAGTGGAATTATGCTAAGCAAGCACTTGCTCAAGGCAGTTTGCATTCCAAAGTGCTAGGCAGAATGGCCCAGGAAGGATTTCTAGCACCTAGGCTGGAGGCAGAGACAAGGGTCCTAATTTCTCAACATCAGAGACTGGGAGTCATTATGCATTTAAAAATGATTTTTAAAATGTTCTAATTGACATGTAATATTTATACATATTTATGGACTGTGGCTTCTTCCCCCAGATGACTTGTCAGTAAAAAGAAAACACAAACAAATCCACATGAACAAAAAAAAGACAAAGAATGAAACCTCAATATTTTTCAATAATACTATAAGTCAACAATACAAAATTCAGAATTGTTCTACAATGTTTCCTTTCTTAATTCAAAGGATACTCTTCTTGGGCATGTGTGTGTGTGTGTGTGTGTGTGTGCACTTCTGTGTGTTTTTTCAGTGATTCATTGTTGGTATACTTTAAATAAATTAGTAAAAGTATTCTAAATGATTTGAAGACATGGTATTATCGAATCTTCACAAGCATCTCAAGAAGAAGATATTAATACTCCTATTTTATATCAATCACAGTTCAGAAGCTCTCACCCTATAAGCTTCAGAGCAAGAATTGACACCTAAAACAGTCTGGGTTAAAATGCTCATTAATCACTTAATGTAAGAACTAAGCACAGAACTGTATAATTCAGCCATCTCACTACTGGGTATATATCCATAGAAAATGAAATCAGCATCTCAAAGAGACACCTGTACCCCTTGTTGATTGCAACACTATTCACAATAGCTGAGATAGAAGCCACCTGAGTATCCATCAACTGATGAAAGATAGGGAAAAGGTAGTTATCTATACACAGTGGAGTACTATTCGCTATCTACATACAATGGAATACCATTCAGCCATAAAAATGGTGAAATCCTTTCATTTTCAGCAACATGGAGGAAACTGGAAGATATTACATTAAGTGAAATAAGCCAGGCACAGTTAGACAAACACCACATGATGTTGCTTATTTACGGAATCTAAAAAATGTTTATCCTAAAGAAGTATAAAGTAGCATGGTGGTTAGCAGGGCTTGGGAATGTAATGGGGAGTGCTGAGGACAGTTTAGACAAAGAGAACAAAGTTACTGATGGCAGGAATAATTCTACCATTCCTTTTCACAGTAGGTGACCATAGTTAACAATAACACAGTGTGTCTTTCGAAATAGCTAGCAGAGAGGATGCTGAATGCACTCATTACAAAGAATGATAAATTTTGATGTGTTAGGTATGCTAATTACTCAAATTTGATCATTACACATGATATACATAGTACACTGTGAGTGCTAGGCAGGTGTTCTACCACTTGAGCAACACCTCCTTCCCTTTTTTGCTTCAGTTACTTTGCAGATAGCAACTCATGTTTTTTTCTTGAGGCCAGCCTTGGACCACAGTTCTCCTACCTACACCTCCCTCATAACTGGGATTGCAGGCACATACCACCATGCCTGTGTTATTGGTAGAGATGGGGTGGTCTCACTAACTTTTTGCCTGAGTATGGACTTGAACTGTGATCCTTCCTATCTCTGATTCCCAACTAGCTGGGATTAACCATGCCCAGTAACTGATTTTTATTAATACCAGTTTTTCATTTTATATATATATATTTGACTTTCTTTTCTGTAATCAGGCATTTCTTTTCTTCATATTCTTATCACTTCTAAAAAGGTAGTATCTTTTAAATATGTACAATTATTTATAGTAAAGTTTATGTGTTGGATATGTTTTCTTTTCCCTCAATAATCAGCTCATGGTGTGGGAGGGTGAATACAGTGCAAATACTGTGTGTACATGTATGTAAATGGAAAAATGATACGTGTTGGAACTATTTCAGGAATGGGGGGAAGAGAGGACAAAGAGGAATGGTAGAAGGAGTGAATTCAAGTATGATGTATTTGCTAAATTGTAAGAACTTTTGTAATTGCCACATTGTACCCCCACTCAGCACATCAATTAAAAATAAAGCAATCAATCAGCTTATTAGAAATGTTTTAATCCAAGCCACATATAGTGGTTCAAGTCTGTAATCCAAGCTACTTGGGAGCATGAGATCCTAAGGACTATGGTTTGAGACCAGCCTGGGCAAAAAAGTTGTGAGACCCCAAGTTAGTGGAAAAAAGCTGGGTGAAGGGGAACACATTTATAATCCCAGCTGTGGTGAAAAAATAAAATAAGAGGATCATGGTCCAGGCCAGCATAGGCAAAAAGCAAGACCCTATCTCAAAAATAAAGGGCTGAAAGTGTGGTTCAAGTTGTAGAGTGCCTGCCCAGCAAGCACTGAAGCCCTGAGTTCAAACTTTGTACCACTAAAAACCAAACCATAGAAACAAAAAAATAAATGTTTTCAATTCTAAATTTTTTGTGAAGGTTTGAGTCTCTGAAAGGAAAGGTAACATCAAAATTGTTATGAAAACCTATTTTAAGTCAGCCATAAATTGGGTATAGTGGTGCCTATAATCCCATAATTCCAGCTATATGAGAGACACAGGTGGGGGGATCACTGTTCCAGGATGGCCTGGGCAAAACAAGTGAGACCCTACTATCTGAAAAAATAAGCTAAAGCAAAATATTTTAATTTTTTTATAAAAAGTTTTTGATATACTATGGTAAGTAGAGTTTAATATACATGTAGGTAGATAGCTTATATATATTCTGTAGCCAATAGTCGTTTAAAAGTAGTTAAAGGCTCACACATATCATCATTTTATCTTCCTCAGATAGACTTTTCTCTATACTAAAATGGAATTTTTGAATGATAATAGTGAAAATATTTTTCATATGGCTTTTAATGCAAGAGAATGAGAAAGGGAGATTGTGATAGAAAGAGTGAAGAAAAGACAGCGGAAAGGATTTGAAACAAGTCATTACTCTAGAAAGAATCAATTATTGACATAATTATTTTAGTAATAGCTCACATGGGGATTACTTTTTTCCATTCAATACAATTTGTCCATAGTATTTAAGGTAAAAGTCTACAAAACTAAGCTCAGTGTTGAAAAAACATCTTTCAAGAATATATTAAAATAAGCTTGTATCCCAAAACAAGCAGAAGGAGCGAAATAATGAAAATAAGGGCCAAAATCAATGAAACAGAAACAAACAAACAAAAAAACATACAGAGAAACAATGAAATAAAAAGTTGGTTCTTTAAAAAAATAAATAAGATTGACAGACTCCTGGCAAACCTGACCAAAATGAGGAGAGAAAAAAACCCAAATGAGTAAAATCACAAATGCAAAAAGAGAGATAATAACAAACACCATAGAAATCCAGGAAATCATCAGAGACTACTTTGAGAACCTATATTCTAAGAAATTTGAAAATCTTGAAGAAATGGACAGAATTCTAGATACTTATGACCATCGAAAATTGAACCAACAGGACATTAATCACCTGAATAGATTTATAACACAAAGTGAAATTGAAGCAGCAGTAAAGAGTTTCCCAAAAAAGAAAAGTCCAGGACCTGATGGATTCTCTGCTGAATTAATCAGACCTTTAAAGAAGAACTAGTACCAATTCTCCTTAAACTGTTCCACAAAATAGAAAAGGAAGAAAAACTGCTTACCTCATTTTATGAAACCAATATTACACACATCCCAAAACCAGACAAAGACACCTCTGAAGAGGAGAACTACAGGCCAATCTCCTTAATGAACATCAATAAAAAAGTCCTCAATAAAATAATGGCAAACCGAATCCAACAACACATCAGAAAGATCATTCACCACGACCAAGACAGCTTCATCCCAGGGATGCAGGGGTAGTTCAACACACTTAAATCTATAAATGTAATACAGCACATTAATAGAAGCAAAGACAAAAACCACTTGATCATCTCAATAGATGCAGAAAAACTCTTTGATAAGATCCAACACCACTTCATGATAAAAGGCCTAAGAAAACTAGGAATAGAAGGAAAGTACCTCAATATTATAAAGGCTGTGTATGACAAACCTATAGCCAGCACCATACTTAATGGTGAAAAACTGAAACCATTTCCTCTAAAATCAGGAAATAGAAAAGGGTGCCCACTATAACCACTCCTATTCAACATAGTACTGGAATTCCTAGCCTGAGCATTTAGGCAAGAAGAAGGAATAAAAGGAATACAAATAGGTAAAGAAACTGTCAAAAAAATCCCTATTTGCAGATTTTGGGTCTTTAAGATGACTTAAAGACCCAAAAAGCTCACCCAAAAACTCCTAGACATCATAAACAGCTCAGCAATATAGCAGGATACAAAATCAACTTACAAAAGTCATTAGCTTTTCTATACACCAATAACACACAAACTGAGAAAGAAAATATGGAAAAAGTTCCATTTACAATAGCTTCAAAAAAATATCAAACACCTAGGAGTAAATTTAACAAAGAATGTGAATGACCTCTACAAGGAGAACTACAAACCTCTGAAGAAAGAGATTGAGGAACACTACAGAAGATGGAACGATCTCCCATGCTCATGGATTGGCAGAATCAACATAGTAAAAATGGCTATACTACCAAAAGCAATCTACATGTTTAATGCAATTCCCATCAAAATCACAATGATATTCATCACAAAGATTGAAAAATCTACCCTAAAATTCATTGGATACACAAGAGACCATAAATAGCCA